CTTCTCCTTTGGCTTCGGCGTCACAATACCAACATCAATTAATGTTTGTATTTTATCCTTTAAGACATAACATGTCTTAGTAGGATGGTGGACCCTTCTGTGGTATGCACAATATTTTGGGTCATTGATCTTCGTTGCTTCTTCTTGGTTTGTGACCGGTGGAAGCTTGATCTTGTTGTTCTCTAACAAGTATTTGAAGATGACCGGAACTTCATCATCTTTGAAAGAGTATTCCTTCGGGAATCTGGGCTCAGAATTCTTAAACTGTTTCTGAGGCTGTTGATTCTGGCTTGGCGCCAACTGGAAGGATGATTGTTGCGGTTGTTGCTGCGGTGGCTGTTGTGACGTTTGATGTGCATCGACAGCGGCCACCGACCCTCTTCCTCTGCCTCGAGGATTAAAGTTCTGCTTCTGATTCTGATTATTGGCTGGTGGCAAACCTCTCTCCAAATTCTTTCTCTTGAGAAAGCGCTCAGCCTGTTCACCCCTCATTTTCAATTCTTTCCAAGTCTTAGAGTGAACAACCCCTACCACTTCTAATACATCCAAGGACAGGTTATTATGACATGTTTGTAGAATAAATTCCTCAGTAAGTGGATCTCTGCAGTTCACTGCTTTGTCCCGGAATCGCTTGACAAAGACATCAACAGATTCCCCGTCCTTCTGCTTTTCGTCCAACAACGTGCCGATCGAGACTTCTGTGTCGTCGTCGAAGAAGTTGGTGAGGAATAGTTCTTCCATATCCTCCCAGCTAGTGATACTCCCGGGCTTAAGACGTCGGTACCAATCGAAGGCAGGCCCGCGAAGGGTCCCCACGAATGACCGAACCATCAGGGCTTCGTTCCCGGATATTGCGCCGAGATGCGACTTAAAATAAATCAAGTGCTGAGTTGGTGAACCCCTGCCATCAAAAGGAGTAAAGTTAATCAAATTAAATTTCTGGGGATAAGGAATCAGGTCCCACTCCCTCGGGTACGGGTATGGAATGCCCGTTTTCTTCACTTCTTGAGCCGTCATCAAAGCGTTGACTTTGCTCTCAAGATCGTGCATCTTCTTGTCCTCTTCCTCGCTTTTCTTCAAATAGATCTGTGGAGGTTGAGTGGCTGACTTGGTCGGATCGCTTCCGGAGTTGTCTTTATCTAGAGGATGATCTTCAAATATCGTCTCATCCTCTTCATTACGCCGACTGGATTCCGCTCTTTGGCTTGATTCCGGTTGGTGTTGCTGAACCTGCAAATCCCGCATTTGCTGCATAGTCAACTCCATCTCAGTCTTGAACTCAGCTCTGATTTCTTCGCGTTGTTTAGCCAATGCTTCTTGCAGCATGTGAGCCAATTGGTCTGGCGTAATTGCAAATGATTCTCTGGCTTGTCCAACACTGGATGCGGTATCGTCCGATGCAATGGCTGAACAAGTATCTGACATTTCTTCATCTGAAGATAGCCCCTCGTGCATTTTCCTGTAGTCTCGTCGTAGGTTGGCTCTTCTTTGTAACCGCGCCATCCTTTGAGAAAGACCCCGCTCAACTCTCCCCCCTGGAGAGAAATCAGGGTCGGGATTGACTGACTTTTGCTTCCCTTTGTTGGTCATATTAATAGTGACCTCAGGGAACTCATCTTGTCGGACTGCCGGTTTCTTCTTGTTGAAACGTCTCATCTTGGGTCTTGACGTTTCACTTGAAAGTCTTTGAAATACGGAGACTCTTGTTGAATTCGCTTTAGAGCATCCGCATTCTGTCAGCACTGCCTTGATGAGTCTCTCACAGGAGCAGTGAGACTCGTTTTCTTGTACAACTCTTTTTCTTGAGTTATTTTTCTGATAGTACAGCTCATCGTTGTTACGATTTGAGCAACCTATCTCTTTCTTCTGAACCTTGTTAACGTGCGCAGGACGACTTGTTGTCGCTTCTGAGCGATCCAAGGTTGGATTTTTAAATCCACCCCCTTGCGGGAATGGTGTCATCATCGGTCCTAGACGAGAATGAACTGGTATTCTCTCGTTCTGGACTTGTGCAGTTCTGACAGGAGGATGTTTACGACCCCCTGTATAAGAAACCACTAAGGGTTTACTTGCTGGGTTTGACTGCTCTTTGGTTGGGGCTTTGCCCTGATTATCAAATGCCAAACTAAGGAGATCTAATTCTGTGAGTTTGACTTTCAATATGTCCGGCTTGTCCTGAATCTTCACTGGTGACGCAGCAGACGGGCTTGGGACGGATGCTGAAGGAGTTGAAATGGGGTCTTCATTGACCTTCTCTTTGCCGCGGCAGCCATAACTGTCGCGGTTGTTTGATGGGCCGCGGCAGTATGGGCTGCCGCGGTTATATGATGAGCCGCGGCAGTACGTGCTGCCGCGGTTATATGATGAGCCGCGACAGTCTGTGCTGCCGCGGTTGAAGACTGACTTCCTCTGTATTCTTTGGGTGTTCTCGTTTTTGGGAACCCAAACTCTACAGTTCTTTTGTGGTTTTCCATCTACCACTTCCTTTTTGTTTTCCTGCACTTGTTGACGAAGGGCACGAGCGTGAGCAGCTTTTGCTTGACGCCTTTGTATACGCTCCTTCAGGGTAGAACGGGCTCTTTTGACCAGAGTCCATTCCTCTGTCGTAAGCTGTGCAGAGATGTGATTATTTTGCCTTTGGGGCAACTGAACCATCTTTTGATTCCTCGACTTTAGGTCCGTGTAATAATGGACCCCGTCGGTCTGTTGCATGGCCTTAGCCAATTGACGAGCGCGGCGTTGACGTTGTCTCTGACGAGCTCTCTTTGTCAATACCGGAGCATCTTGGTTTAAGGACCCTTGAACTGGTGAAGGGTCATTCGGAACAGAGATGTCGCAGGTTGATTCTTTTGCAATGACTTGGCAAGAATCTCTACCTGCGGTCTTCATTGGAACTGAAGACTCGGGAACTTTCTTGGGAGAAGAAATCTTCCTGCACTTGCGGGGTGAGGAGGATTTTGATGACGAGGATGACATATACTCCTCGTATTTTGCCTGATCGAATTCATATTCGATCTCTTCGGTGACGATGATCTTAATCGGCTGCGACACTGCGGCCTCGGCAGCGAGGCCGCTGGCTCCCACTGTGGTCGCCAGTTTGTTTTCAGCGAAAGTTGTTTCCATTGCAGATTCCATTAAAACTTCGATCGTTTACAAAGAATTACAATGAAAATAAAAGAAAATACAACTCTCGAGAAAATAACACAGAAATTGTTTATCAACTCCTGCTTTTGTGGGACTTTGCCTGTGCCGGGAATGCTTTAGTTCGTGGACCACCGATTCGTAGATCGAGAGGTTGTTTAAGGATCTCTCCTTCGTTTATCGAAGTAAAGATTTGAAAACGAATATCTTATCGATGTAAGATGTCCGTTCTTCCAAAGATCAAGTCTGAGCTTAGATCTCTAGGATTCACCAAATGATGCTTGTCAGAGGGTGAAAATTCTCTCTTTCTTTCTCAAAATCACCAAAGACTCAAGTATCTTCTGCTCCAAAAATGCTCTCTGTCCTTTAATTCGTGCCTAGGGAGGTATTTATAGGGCTCTCAGTGCACCACAGTTGAAACGGAGGCGAAATAACTGACTGGCCGTTTTCTCTTTGGCCGCTGCAGTCTACACTGCCGCGGCTATTGGCGCGGCAGTATAGGCTGCCGCGGCCAAAGAGACGGTTATGAGCACGTTCCATCGCGCTCAAAACTACTCTCCCACGAACTTTAACCACCTTTTTCGTGGTTTAACCGCTTTTCCACGTCAGCACACGTTCTATCTTTGATATGCTGCCACGTGGGCTTCAAAAAATCATCAAATAACTGTCTTATAACTGCCACGTCATCCTCTTATAACAACCGCGACACTATAGGCCGCCGCGCCTAAGCCGCGGCACCTTGGTCTGCCGCGCCATAGCCGCGGCGCCTTGGTCTGCCACGCTATAGCCGCGGCGCCTTGGTCTGCCGCGCCTTAGCCACGACGCTTTGGATTGCCGCGCCTAAGCCGCGACACCATTGGCTGCAGCGCCACAGTGCTGTCTGATGACGTGTATATCGTTCTTCTATGTTGTCTTGCATGGTGTTTGAATGTCTATAAGCATTTTTGACGCCTACAGATACCCCCTCCAAAGTATCTCAGACTCATCATTTCTTTTAGAGAGGAGTCTGGGACACTTTGGATATGATAGGCTTTCCCTGCAATTTCTCCAGTTCTTTGTTGAGGAAATTGCGTAGAATGGTCTGTGAATGGCTTCAATCCTTGACTTCTTTATCTCTTAGTCTACTCAATGCTTTGTAGAATAGCTAAGATTCCTCCGGTGCTGCGTTTATCGCGTGCCCGTCGTCGAAGTCTTGAATCAGAACTGTTGTTGAAGAATGGAGAAATAGTTTATACTCATATGCTCTATTGGAGTGTTCGGGAAACAGTTTAACCTCATGTACCCGTTGGGAGGTTCAAGGAGATGCAGTTTATACTCATATACTCATCGGAGTGTTCAGATGTGTATTCCAAATACAGCAAGAGATGTATGTGTTCAAACGTCGAAGAATTATCGTGCATGCACAGTATTTATACATGCCAGAGTGAACCATGGTGTGTTAGCTGCCGCGGCAGCTTACACTGTCGCGCTTTAGCGCGGCAACATAGACTGTCGCGCTCGAGCGCGACAGTGTCGAGTGCCGCGCAGCGCTTCGGCCAGTCAGATTATAACTCTGACGTTTGGGCTTCTTCGGGTCACCTTTCCCCGCCTCTTTGAGTTCGAAACCTCTTCCAAAACCCTATAAAAGGATTTTTTCTGGTTTTTCCCCTTTCCACCTCTTCATCTTTGCGTTTGCTCAAACAAAACCTAGGGTTTTAAGATCTAGGGTTTTGAGTTCTCTTTGATTTTGATCTTTTCCCTTGATCAAACTTGATTCTATTCTCCCCTGGTAAGAACCGAGCCTATCCCTTGTATTTCATGTTTATTTTGCTATTTAATTCGAGATTTCATCTCTAAACCCTAATTTTCTTTGATTCCAGGTTGATTTCACCATGTCTCCAAAGAAGACTCGTGGTTCGAAGGGAAAATCAGCGGCACCAGCACCTGAGGATGTCGAGGCTGCAGTTCCATCCTTTGGGGGTAAGTTTCTTCCACTTCTCTTCTCTGAAACTGTTGATTTTGTGCATATAACCTCGTTTGTCTCCGTTGAGAGGCATTCGGGAAGAGTTGACATCCCCCACCGAGGGGATTGACGCTTCAAAACACATACCTTGTTCAATCAAGGCATGTACCACAGTTAAGACACGGGTATTCGTCGAACTCGTGCCTTTTCAAAATCAAGAGTCGCTGTTCAGTTACCGCGGCAGCTCGTACTGCCGCGCCTGAGCGCGACAGTGTATACTGCCGCGGTAACGCGCGACAGCAACAACTGCCGCGGCTACTTAGTGAAGGTTTTCTCGTCTGTTAGCCTTTTTGGTCCAACTGTTTTCCAACCTTTCTTTGCAGTCCCCTTTCCTTCTGTGGCCTTCTCTGATAGAGAGGATCCAGGTCAAAGCGGTACTCTTCATGCCTCTTTCAACGGCGACTTTCTGGTTAGAGAGGCTCGCCAATTTAGCGAAAATCGTGATAATAGTATTCCAGAGTTGGTTCGTGAGGGAGGTCGTCGTACCCTGCGCGCTCTTTTGACTGATTCACCCCTAACTCCAATTCGAGATTCTACTGAACCGTTGAAGAAGACTGATTATCTGTTCGGAGATTCGGTAGAAGATCCAGACAAACTTTGCCGTGGCTCTGAAATTTGGTTGAATGAACATGAAGGTTCTTTTCTATTCCTTCCTCCATTTCCTCGACAGTACTCCCTTCTGCAATTGAGGAATTTGGCTGTTTCGAGGGAAATGACGTGGCACTTGACAGAAGACCATGAGCACGTTCATTGCGGCTATATTGGTAAAGATATTAGCGCTCCTGGCTCCGTCGGTAGGCCTGATGTTCGTGGTCTTCACCCTGGTATATTTGGACCAGATGGTGGGCCCCAAAACGAACTGATGATAAGGGCCAATACCGTAAAGAATAAGCTCGCTCGGGTTGGTCGAGAACTTCCCATTCCAAGATTCAGGTGTTATGGATGGGTTCACTCTCTTCCTGACAAATGGTGGGCTAGGATGACCAAATACGTACTCCATCGTTGGGATCAGGAGTTGCGGGATTTGGGATTATATGCTCCAATCCGAGCTAGTATGCATGGTCTCCCAGTGAGTGCAGATCATTTTATGGCTTTGTTCGAGTCTTATATTCCGGAGACCAATACCTTTCTTACCAAGTATGGGGAATTAGGGCTTCCGCTCCACGAAATGATGAAGGTATCCGGATTGCCATTGGGGAATACTCCTTACCAAGAATATTTTCCTAATAATCGTCAGTTGATGAAAATGAAGAAGGCCTGCTCTCCTGCTTATGACATCCTCTGGGAGTTAACTTGTCATTATCAGATAGCGATAGCCAAGATTGAAGTGAAGAGTAAGAAGGCGGCTCGAGTCAGTTTAAAACAGTTCGCCGACTACCTATTTCAGAACCTTGAGAGCCCGACCGGTGAAGAAGTCTGTGAATCACCGATTCTGACCCCTTCTGACGTCAACCAGCTAATCACGAAGATTAATGCTCAGTCTTACAGAACTGAGTCATCTGAAGGTGGTTTTCTTAAGGGCACCAAGTTCAACACTTTCTTGTGGCAAGCCACAAAGAGAATGAAGCCTGCAACTCTTCTTTCCGGTTATCTGGCCATTTGGCTAAAGAGATGTGTAGTGCCGCATCAGTCTTCTGAGGCGCTTCCTCTTGAAGTTCTCTTTCCCGCCGTGCAACTAGTTGTCAGAGGCAGGTTATCTCTTCTTTCTGCTATGATTGCTGACCTCCATAGCGGTTTGCGTAACCTAGCCAACACCTTTACCAAAGTGGGTGCCGAGCCTTCAACTAAGATTCCTTTGTCGAGCGTCGAATTTCCGTACACCTATTTGATGGCGTGGCTAGTTCTCCATCGATCGGACATGATGTCAGCGCCTGATGCGTCTGATCCAGAAATCCCCTTGCTGCAGCTCTTAGAAGGATGTAAGTGGTTATATCCTTCCCGACCATGGACTGACCGTGTGAGGCAATTCAAGAATGCCAAATGCTGGGAATTCTATAAGTGTTTCCCTCGGTTTTCTGGTGCCTATAATGACACGCTTGTTGACGAGGAAATGCCTGGGGCTAACAGGACCTCTCTCGATACGGGTAGTTTTCATTGGCTCATGAACATTCGCCCAGGCTATAATGTTTTTCGATCGAAGAACATTTGCAGGATTGAGCCTTATTTTCCTTGCCGTTTTGCGCGACAATTCGGCTACGATCAATTGTATATCGGGAATCCCAATAAATGGTTGATAAACTGCGGAGGCCTTATTGATGGGGTACGTGCCTGGTTCTGGAATGTTGCTGGCTGTACCGGAGCTCGATTTAGTTTGCCTGTCGCTGAGCCTGGTCTTTACTTAACCTTCCTCTACTGCCGGTGGATTTTAGCCGCCAATACTCCTCTTGCGAAGAAGAAGCTCCACGAACTGGAATCCGAGGCTGTAGTTCGGAGAATTGTATCAAAAAAAGGAAAGGAGCCCGCTACGTCTTCTCGTAAAGGAAAACAGGTAGCTGATTCCGAAGAGAGCGACGACTTCGAGACATCCAGCGAAGAGGATGAGACCCGAGGCGACGCAGAGGGTGATGTACCTTTGTCTCCCGTGGCTCACAGGACTCGTCGAGCTTCTTCGCCCAAATTACCCGGTGCTCCTTCAAAAGGTATACAAATGAAGGAAAAGAACATTCCCCTGTCGTCCTCCAACAAGATGACCTTGAGATGGCTTTCTCAGGAGGGAGAGGCAGAAGAAGAGGAAGAAGAGGTTGCCCCGCTTATTAACAGGAAAAGATCTCGGCTTACTGCTCCTTCTGAGGTTCAACCTCAGCCGACTCAAGGAACCGAATTACGTACCAAGTTTCGACATGAAAGCTCCGAGGTTCCTCGAGATTCTCGTGCCTCGAAGAGGATTAAAAAGACGGCTCATCGGGAACGCCAACTTTCTCCGTTATTTGAGGAGAAGTTTACTCAGGATCTTCCAGTTGATGAAAGGGGTAAAGTTTCATCTTCATCTCCTTTCTGTTATCTTATTTCTTTTTTGAATAAGGCGTCGCATTTATTCTTTTATCATTGCAGTTGAATCAGAAGAGGAAGGGGAAATCGTGCCCAAGCCTTCTTCTCCGGGTTTAATGGATGTTGATGAATCTAGCTTCACTGAACAAGTGCACAAGGCTATGAACGAGGAACCCCTTCATATGGACATTGTTCCTCCTCCAGCCACCACATCGACCTCGCCAACCGCAGATACAGGTACTGATGTTTTCTCCTTTGGGGGACATTTTCGGAAGATAAGTGAATCAGAACGTGTTCCTCTCCTACTAACTTGTGCGCTTTATCTTCTTTTAGTTAAACTAAAGGAGGTGAGTGCGGGTAGTAGCGCTGCTAATCCCGCAACTATTGTTGAAGGTAATCTCACTTTATTTGTTTTGATTAGTAAGATTGATAAATTGATTAATTTTTATTGGATATACATAATATGAAGATAATGATATAATTTAAAGTGAAATGTAAACATGAATGATAACAGGAACCTCCAAAGAATTTGATATTTGCAAATAACACCCTCAACATTTCAAAAATTATAGAAACATCTCCAAAGTTTAAATAATAAAAAATCCCCCTGAATTTCTGGAATTTTAAAACTTGCAAACAACAAAGATAAATTCAAGGAATTACCATCAGGCACATGAAAATTTTAAAATTTATAAAAACATAACCTCAAAGTTATAAAAATTACAAACAAAACTCCTTCACAAGTTAAAAGTCACAAAAAAACCATGAAATTTCAAAATGTACAACCAGTGTATGGCAAATTTAGAAATTATTAACAGACCACTAAAATTTTAAATTTTACAACAAACAATCCAAAGTTTCAAAAATTGTAAAAATACACCCTCAAAATTTTAGAGTTAAAAGAAATATCTTAGTAATCGAAAACTTTCCACCAACATATGAAATATAGAAATTAAAAGCATCCAACTTAAAATTTAAAATCTTTAAAAAATACTCTCAAAGTTTTAAAATTTACAAAACACATCCTCCAAAATTTAAAAGCACAAAAAAACTTAAAATTTCAAATCTTAGCAAACAAAAGAGTAGTTATTTAATATTATTTCATTAAGCTATTTAAAATTAACTTCCAATTTAAGGTTTATTATTTTTTCAGCATCTCAAAGTAGTCTAATTTTATCGAAAAAGATAAGGACAAAAATGATTGATGTCGGCTCAACAAAAAATGAAACAAAATGAGTGAATGACGCTATTTTCTGAATATTTTATAGAATAGCTTTTTTTAGTATATTAGGAATCTTTCGAAGGGATTTTTATGAACTTTTTAGTATTTGTATATGCTTATGTGGATGTTTCATCATATAAAAGTGTGCTAATTTTCTTAAAGTTTATCGAGGATTAGGAACAAACTCTATATTCTCTTTTATCTTGTTTTAGCTGACTTTTAACCAATCATCTTATCTTATTGTAAAACCCCGTAAATTTTTTAAAACTACTATGGTAAATAGTATTAAATGATTTATATTATGATAAATATTATTTAATGATAAATGAGCATGATAGTAATCTTTTTGAAACCAATTAAGAGTATATATAGATTATACACTGATGTAATTCAAATCTAAAAAAAACAACCAGTTAAGAAAATATATACATTATACACCGATTCAGTTTGAATCTAGAAAACTTAAAAGAATAAAATTATAGGTCTCTTCAATATCTTTCCAAAGCATCTTAAATCACCTCATTCTGAGGTCGGACAAAAACGTTACAGCCAAAATACCAAAGACTATTTTCCCAATATGACTGTGTTTCCTATTTTAGGTCACATTTGTTTGTTTAGGGTTTGCCTCTATATAGACCTATGTTTATCATGAAAAATTCTTATTTATATCATATTTTTAAACCCTAGCAGCCACCCTCTCCCCTAAAAAAAATCCTAGAGCATATTTTGGTAATTTTTAAGAGCTTTGTGAGGCAAATACCGAGAAGAGGGCGAGATCATCGGCGTTTGGCGAGGGAGAACCTGTTTGCTTGCACCCTTGGATTTTTTAGCAGTGCGTTGAGCCAAGATCATCTTCCTCCAAACCTATCCCCTGTAGAAATTCATATTTTTAATATGTATAATTAGTTAATCTAATGTGTAGTGCTTATTTCGATAATTTTAAATCCTTGTTCTGATGTTAAATCTTAAAATAACAAAGAGGTCAGAAGAATTAAACTTTAATTCATAAAAATAGATGATCATGATTATTAGTTTTCAGATCAATTGATAATTCTTATTTTACATGGCCTGAACCCTAATTGTCGATGTATAGAACTTGAGTCTTGAATATTAAACAATATAGTGATATAAGCTTGTGGATTAAAAACCCTACTTTGATGTGTAGATCTGTGAATATAAATACTAAATGAAGAAAAGGTATTAATTTGATATTTAGAACCATGGTTAATTGCTAAGATGATGAACTAATTAGGTTTTAAACCCTAATTGTACAAACTTAATCTGATTATTAGTTATATTTAAAGTATTTTTAAACCCCAAAGATCATGTTACGATGATAAATAATTGTTTAGTTAAACCCTAGTATGTTAAACACATGAGTAAACATATGTTTATACCTCATAATGATGTTCTATAAGTTCTTTTGTTGAAATTGTCTTACCTTCACGAGACTCAAACCTGAGTCTTAGACTCTAGTTGGTCGACTGAACCGACCGAACCATGTGCATCGGTTGACCAATCCTATCCTGGGTTTGTGTAATTCTTTGTTCGATCGAAGCTTATTTTTACGCATGTTTATGCGAATTGTCGTCGGTCGACCAATGCCCTAGGATAGTCGACCGACATCATGTCTTGTTTGTGATAATTTTTCTTGCATGTTGTTCATGAACACGGGCTTCAAGATGTACAATGATTTACACGTACGACATAGACGTACACCTATGGAGGCTTGGCACACGCGGACTTCCGAGAAGGGGATAGTTGCGTGTATTATTTTTACCATGATGAGGAAACGATTAGTTAGAACAATATATATGTGTATATGGATACTTTTGAAAGGCACAACTAAGTAGTGCTTAAGGTAGTGCGTCGGTATACTGTTGAAGTAGGCCATTGAGCCGTAATTGCAGATGCCTGAATAGGTAGTTCATTTTGCATTGTGCTACGATGAGGCTAGTGAGCCATATTTATAGGATGCCTAAGGAGGCAGTCCGTTCCGTATGGTGATGCGATGAGGATGTCTGAGCAGGAAGTTCGTTCCGCATGGTGATACGACGAGGCTAGTGAGCCGTACCTATAGGATACATGAATAGGTAGTCTGTTCCGCACGATGATGCGATGATGCGATGATGCGATGAGGCTAGTGGGTAGTATTTACTTAGGATGCTTGAATAGGTAGTCTGTTCTGCATAGTAATCCGATAATATCTGTAGGCATCGAAAATTGCCTATAGGTCTCCACGAACGGTTCAGTGTTAAAGAGCGACGATGAACGTCACTATCCGATCCACAGGAGTCCAATTGACGTCGATGAACGATTGAAGTGAATCGACGAACTACGTGAGCTGATAGGATTTCGGAACAACGAAGACCCGGACCAATCGGGAACCCGGCAATGTTCACAAAAAGGACAACGCCCTTCGAGTCTCGTTCACTCTACAGATAATCCAACCACCAGAATGGATCGAACTCTTCGTCAAGCTTCCAACGCACTTGGAATCACCCAAATCCGAGTTCGGACGAAGAATCTACGGCGAAAACAATCAACCATACGCAACGGAGCGTCTCAGGCTAAGTTGGGACACCCGAGGTGTCTCGGGAAAGTCGAAACACCCCAGGGGTGTCTAGGCACCCTAGGTGCTCCCCATTGCCTATAAATAGCCCCCCTAAGGCCTCATTTTTGGAGATCTAGATTTTTGGAGAAGTTGGCGAAGCCCTGCTGCAGTGAAGAGTGGTCGAGCGCTTCAACAGAGGAGGAGAGAGGTCTTCATCAGAGTCTTCATCACCCGTCCCCCCTTTCCTTAGTATTACCCTTCGCCGGTAATCACTAAGAAGAGTAGATATCTCGTTTTAGCTGAGATAGACGCTTCAGGCTTCTAGATCTCACGCGGATCGACGAAACTCTGTCCGATTTTTCAGGAACAGATCTGAGTGCCAGGTAGTCCATGGATATTGACGTCCCCGTCACAGGCAAAAGACCCACGCAAGCAGAAGACCGATAAACGATCTCTGCGTTTGTTTTGACGAGAGTTGTAACTTTTGTTTTCATTGTGTAAAAGTCTTATAAAAAGACAATCTTTTTTTGATTTCATTGTAACGACTAAAGTTGTAATGAATACAGCAATGAATACAACAATTTTCGACGTAAACAAGCTGGCGACCACAGTGGGAGCCAACGGCCTCGCTGCCGAGGCCGTCGGGACGCAACCGGCATTCAAGATCCGGGTGAATGAAGAGATCGAATACGAGTTCGATCAGCAAAAGTTTGAAGAGTATCTCTCTTCCTCCTCCTCCAGATCCGCCTCTCTGAACAGGCGCAGGAAGGCATCCTCTTCCAGAAACGTTCGCGGGACCTTCGGCTCGAAGATCCAAGATCCCATTGCCGCCGCTGCACTCGCACCACGTGACATCCCCGCGTCGTCCAACGTGGTCGAGACCGCAGATCTGGACTTCTCCTCCGCCAAAGGGATGGCCACTGAAGGTGCTCCAGCATTGTCAAAGAGGGCATGCCAAAGACGGCGTCAACGCCTTGCTCGTCAGCTGGCCAAGGCTTTGGAGCCGATGGACGGGATCCGCTATAATGTGGATCTAAAATCCAGGCAGCGCAGGGAACAACAACGGCGAACAACCAACTCCTCCTCCAAGACAGAAACGAACAAATGGGTTCGTGTTAAGAGGACCCGCTCCACCCTCGAGGAGCGAATCAGGAAGCGTCGAGCATTGCTTGCACGTGCCTGGACCCTTGTGCGAAAAACACAAGAGGAAGAGGCAGTTAAGAGATCACCGAGATCCAAACAAGTTTGGGTGCCAAAAGCCAAATCAGCGCCTAAGGCAAAAGCAGGCGACGTTGCTCTCCGGCCTTCGTCAACTTCAGATCCCGAACCTCCGATGAAGTTCTACCGCAACGCAGATTTCCCCAAGTTTAGGATTCCTCTGAAAAATCGTATCGGTGCCCTGCCCGAGAATCGAGGAAAAGCGCTTGTTAAGGAAAGCTGGAGATCGTTGAAGCCCTGCCCGAGAATCGAGGAAAAGCGCTTGTTAAGGAAAGCTGGAGATCGTTGAAGGAGCTTCGAGCCAGCATCCGGACTGGGGGTCGTACGCGACCTCCTCACAAATTGATTTCTGCAACAGCCCGCTTGCCAGTGCGTATAGAAAATCAGGAGCCCGTTAAGGTTTCACCCTCACAAAGGTGTGATTCCAAACGTGTGACTCCCGTAGATGCCAACAAGGCAATGTTTACTCAGAGGAAAACGCGTCAGACAGATGAACGAGTTATACCTGAGAATCTATGTAAACAGCCAATAGGTTACTCCGACCGCAACGTC